TCTTTGCTGTGGCGGAACATATCGTCAGACGGGTACAAACATTGATTATGGCAGTACTTATAGAAATTATCCCAGTTTTAACTTGTGGAAATAAGCGGTCTCGTCAAATGGGTGAATTCAAGTTTTTCCTGTGAATAGTCTATAGCTGCTGAAAAATTCCTGAAAAGTTGCGACTGGTAATCGCCACAAAATGATGAAATCTGGCTAATTTTGCAGACGAAAACGAAACCAACGCCCTTAACAGTGCATCTACCATTCTATTCGAAAACGCACTCAATGACGACACTGTTTCCCTCGCATCGGGGAAGAGGTTCATCAAGCATCAAAAGCGGCCATGCGGCAGGACAGCACTGCCACGAAACGAAGTACGGTTGACGATTGATAGACGGCAAGGGAAACAGTGTCGTCATTGAGGGCGTTTTTGAGTTGAATGGTAGATGCGCTTTTTGGTGCGCCTACTTAGATTTCGCCTGTTAAACTAGCCAGATTTTATCGCCCCGCGGTGCTTACCAGTGGCCGCTTTTTAGAAATTTCAAGCTGGCTATGGACTGTTCGCAGGAAGAACCTGAATTCGCCCGTTTGACTGAACTGCCTATTTAGACTGGTTAAAAAGTTAATTGTGCTATTTTCTATAATTACTGTCGTAAACAATGTTTGTACGCATCAGAAGATGCCTTCGGCTACAGTAAAGGGAACGCTGCCGGTAGAACGCGGAGACCTCCTTCATGCAATTTTTCAATAATCGTGGCCACATTCCTTCAAACATTCTTTATAGTTGCGTTTGTACAGGCTATGTTAGGTACGGCGCTTGTGACGAAAAGAGGAGCGGAATTCCGGGTACTGCGAACGAGTCGCTGAGGGGCTGCTAGCCTGCAGAAAGGCACTCCGGCCCGGGCATTCTCATTCCAAGCCACGAAGCAAGGCGCCCAGCAGTTCGGCGTCGTAATCGACCACAATCGGTTTTGATCGTGACAACTTTCCTCGAAGGAACAGCGGCGTCGCTGCGTTATGCGTCGGCCCGAGCGTGAGACCTGTCAACCCAACGACCTTGTCAACGGTAACGCCAGTGAGGGGACACCTTGGGGTTACAGTGGAATTATGGCGGCTGCGCCCCCAGCCAAGGACGTTATGCGGGCGCGTGTGGGCGGCCCCGTCTAAAGTGGTGCATGTCTTGGGATCGGACATTGTAATTTGGTGCCATTTCCCTCATCCGCGGATCTGAGGAAACGGGACTGTTTATAATCAGCCCTCGCGGGCTGCTTCGTGCGTTGTAGAGCTTCTTTTGGAGATAGCTTCTTGAAACAAGACTGTCAAGATATAACTCTCCTCTATATGTAAATAAACCTCTGTAAATATCTCCCGAAGAATGCTCCTTCCTCCCTGCAAGAGGGGCTAAACGGGCCCGGTCACGGTGGTCAGCTGCTTACGACGAGACCCGCCGGACCCGAACCGCATCGACTGGCAGCAGTGGTGGTATGCTGTCAGACCCCCTGTCCTAACCACTGGTAACTGCGGTGGGATGCCGTCGAGCCCTAACAGCAAGCACTTTAGGAAATTTGGTTGCGTTATGTGTGTGGCTATTTTTCACATGTGCTTGTATTCTGAGCAAGTCGTATTGCTACCCATCCTCAAATTAGGCTGCTGTAATTTTCCCCCGAACATTTTGATTTCGAATTTGTGTACACGCACAGAAACGCGCTGCTGACGGTCATGCGTTTGTGCGTGTATATATGGTCGTGCATATATATTGTGTTCGCGCATTTCGTATAGTGTGCGTAGTGTGCGTGCATATATCGGCTTTAACTATCAACTACTGCGAACACGAACAAGCGAGTATTCCGAAGCACAAAACCTTATTCATAGAAACCAATAACATGAATCGGCGAACGAAAAAAAAAGAGCACTGCTATTACAATCAAAACTACGTTTTGTATTATCGCAAGGTACACTGACAGAGGCATAGCTCGATACAACAATCAAGTGTACGGCATGCGTATTCAGCTTTTGACGGGACAACGGAACTCAAAGGGATACATGCAGTCAGCAGCACGAGTCACAGTGTGTTACTTCGAAAACTGTTAAAGCCTTGCCTGTAGCGGTGAAGCAACGCAGCGCAAAAGTGCTATATATAGCCCCTGTGGGAGAGGCCCGCTACACGAGCAATGCCTTCTTCAACCTCGAGCTCGCTGTACAAGGTCTTCAACTTGAAGTATGTATGATATAGCTCGCCGAAGAGGCTCAATGTTCGTGCGCACAGCGCCACTATTTCCGCTGTTTTATGCCGATGACAACAAGGCAGTCCGTAGCCAGCACCCTTGCGCCTTCGACGAAGCAACGCGATCCGACGCCACAATCAACAAACTTCATTCAGCACAGCGCCAAGCGAAAGTGCCGCGTTGACCCCGTCAATTGTAGTCATCATTGTTTTTTCGACCAGTGATGCCAGAAGACGGAGCGTTTTATGGAGTTGCGAACAGTCCACTGAACAGCTGTTACGTGGCTAGTTATATTACTTTTAGTTAATAGACTAGATGTCAAGTAATTTTAGCCGCGAGAATAGCTCAGTTTTTTCAGGTCCGAAGCCCCTTACGCCTTGGGTCGTATGTCCCGTGTTGTCGAAGTTGTAGTATAGCCAGTTGCATTGCACTGCATGTCCATAAAAACGGTGTCACAGCATATCCACGAAATGAATGGTGATGAGTGGGGCGAAGCATTCGTCAGACCATCCGTCCTTCCGTGCGTTGGTCCGTCCACTTCGCCCCAATCGTGATCATTCACCTCGTGGATATGCTGCGATTTTTTTCTCTCGGGATTCCTGTTCGCACTTCCAAGTACAGCGAAAAGCATCAAGAAACATGTCGATTGTAGACATGGTAAGCATATCGCCTGAAAAAAAAAAATGGCCCCGTATCTGCATGTTACACTTCAAATGTCGTCAAAAGACGATAGTCTTGCGTCTGGAGAAAGTGAACAAAACGTTTGTTTGATGTTATGCGCAAGAAAATCGGCTAATGGTATTCTGGAGGCGCTGCGTTAGAGTGCCTGGAGCGTGTAGCGGAGGTGAACGAGCGCATCAAGTCACGTCACACGTAAAACATTAGTGCTATCTTGCAGTTATCTTAGAAAACGAAGCGCGCAGCGTGCGCGCCTGTCTCGGAGGTGATAAGGTGTATAACGCAAAGCGACAGGTAGGTGCCAAGATCAAAAGGCTTTAGTCTTAGCAAAGCGTTAAAAACACTTTCCTTTTCAAGCAAACGTTGCTTGGTCAGCATAGCGCAATAAACGCTGTGGCCCTCAGAATTACTTATGTATGTTTTTTTAGTAAAGATACACACATGAATATTGACGTGCTGTTATGGTGCCTCAGATATGCGCAATAATTGCTTTTTAATTGACAATCACACAAGTAAGAACGCTGAATCTTGAGCAATATTGGTGGGCGCTGCGAATGGGGTCGACTGTTTGGAGTATTGTTTGGTCACTTTGGTGTTGTGGTACGGTTAAGAGTGGACAAACAGACAGATGTACAGACAGATAGACAGATCAAAACTTTTGCGTCGAAGGTCCATCGTCTTTTAAAAAAAAAAGATCAGTTCTGCCGCATAGCTGTGGTTGCTAGCTAGACCTACACGCGCCTCTGCTCTATTAGTGTGGCATACACAGGACAAACTATCGCTCACCTTCTTTAAAGGCTTCAAAAGGTGGTATGCATTTACCGGTGCCCGTCAACGATTACGGTTTCACAGATCAAAATTGGTTATCTGAGTAGGCATTCGAATTATTGATGCTTTTAGATGCATGCGCATTCTTTGTGCCATGAGACTGCGCACGCGCCTCGTACGCTTCCTTGGAAACTCCTTTAAACGTCAGGGTGTGTCTGCCGTTTACTCATAGGTCGTCAAACTCACCCACGAGTCGAGTCACTCAGATCAAACCGTGAGTTCGGTTGAGAGATTTTGGCAGGCTCGAGTGAGTCCGGTTGAGGAAAACAATGCCGAGTCTGAGTGCAAGTGACCCCTAACCATAAAATAAATATCTTGAGTGAATCTGAAAAGGATCCACCTTTTATTGCTGACCTATGGTCTATCAACTCATCGTCAGCATTACTGCCGGTCTGATATCGGTTTACGTTTATACTTAAGTTCATTCAGACACACATCTCAACACACTCATATTCACGCGGCGTATCAATGATGGTTCAGCGAACTGGGAGCGCGGGGGTAAAACACAGACACAAAGCAAAGAGGAGGCACACAGCACGAGCTTTGTGTGCTTTGTGCCTGCGGTCACCCCCGCGCTCCCAGTTCGCTGAACCATCACGAATTACCAACTAGCCCACCTTTCCATCCTATTGCAAGGCATATCAATATTTATCGGTCACAGACGTGAATTGGTCGGGGTGCCACGACCCTTCTGCGCAACCTATTTCAGGGAAAGTTCCTGATGAAAATATACCGTGTGAGTAGGTGATTTCATGAAAATATCCTTTGCATCACTAACAACGTGTTACTGAAGGTATAGATCAAAAACCCTATCGTAAAGCACTGATCATATGAGATATTGACATTAAAAGCGTCGGAACTAATATAAAAAAGAGCTGGTCACGCACTCATGCGTCGACTCGTTTAGGCGAAGTCGTGAGCCTGAGTGCCTCCGGCTGAGTAATATGTTGGCGAATGTGAGTGAGTTCTGAAGACAAATGGTTGAGCGAGTTTGACTGAGTCCAGTTGAGGAATGCTTTCGTGAGCCTGAGGAGCCCTCATAGCATAATTTATTTTTGAGTCAGTCTGAGTGAGCTCCAAGCCTTTTTGTCGAGCTGTGGACTCCTCACAGCATCGTCCCAACCCTATTTGCGCATGCTTTCTCGACGCAAACAGTGTCCAATATTGACACGAAAACCTAATCTCCACGAAGCGTATTTCACTGTAACGTCTTAGCCTACCCTTTCACTTAACGCTTACTTATTCTTCATTAGAACACACATTTCCAACAAAGCTTACTTTGCAAGATCCAAGGCATCATCAATGAGCTGCGCCCGATTCAAGACATGTATTGCCTATGAACGAAAGAGAGAGAAGACGTTTTAGTAACGTGAGTTTTGTTAGGAAGTAAATACAAACAGAAAACTGAGCGAAAAATGAAAACGACGACGATTCTAGAGCAATGTTCCCAGCCCACAGCACTCGCTCATGTTCATCACTCTGCAGCGACATTGGCTGAGCTGCTATACTCATAGCGCTGCCCTCAAATTAAGAATAGACCCTCTAGCAGTCTATAGGCCCAGAACCGAAAGGGGCCATAACCCGGTCACCCAAAAATTTGCAGATTTCAGCGAGAAAGAGTAGTAGTGTGTCTATTGCGCTGATACTTGTACTGTAGAAAAATGAACTGTAAAATAATATTTCAGTACAAAATAGGCGCTAAACGTAGCCGCCTTATACACTGTTGTAGTTGTCACAAAATGAAAACCAAACGCCGCTTCTAAGGAACGTTAATTGAATGACCCGTCGCGGAAATGCAGGAAAGCGGCAACTTGGGGAGAACGCGTTTCCGGGGTGCAACAGCAGCGGTCCCTTTAAAAAGAGACAACAGGTGGTCCCGGAAAAAGGGACAGCGTTCTTCTGCATGTTTTACTTATCCTTCTACATGTTTCAGCATATCTGCATGTTTCACTGCAAATTTCGTCGAAAGACGATAGTCTTGCGTGTGAAGAGAGTGAACAAAACGTTTATTTGATGTCCTGCGCAAGAAAATTGGTGAATCGTATTCTGGAGGCGCTGCGTTAGAGAGTCTCGATCCGTATGGTGAAGTCGAACGAGCGCATGGTGCCCCTGATATGCGCAATAATTGCTTTTCAATTTACAATCGCACAAGTGTGAATGCTGAAACTTGAGAAATACTGGTGGGTGCTGCGTATGGGGTTGGCCGTTTGAGTTATCGTTTGGCGCCGCTAGGGGGATCGTTACCGTGGACAAACAGACACATGTACAGACAGACCCAAATTCTGGCGTCTAAGGTCCCCAAGAAAGATTATCGTCCGTAATAACCATTGCATGCATGTCATGTAAAACATGACTACATGCCACGCTCATAGCGTGCTCGCGGCCGTTTCGCTCGGTCCACATTACCAAATTTGATATCACGTTACGTGATACACGACGAAGGTAAATGGCATGTCAAAACATGATGTGAAAACATGATGTCCAAACGCATGGCATGATAATGCTGACATGCGTGCCATGTAATACATTACTAAATGCTACGTTAATAGCGTGCTCGCGGCCGTTTCGCTAGGCTCTGCAAATACCAAATTTGGTATCGCGTGACGCGAATAGACGATGAATACAAATGCCAGACGCAAACATGATAATCATGACATGGAAGTGATGTACGGCGTAATATATATCAGCCTCGTAACGTGGTGCTTATATTAAAGTGACATATCAACCTTCCCCATTCGTGTTTCGCATATCGTCGATTCCAACTGTGGCATTTGCCAAATTTATCCCTTTTTCTATCGAATGTAATGGTGCACATACTTTAGAATAAGCTCAATCTTCGTGATGTCCTCGTACTGAAAAGGCCTCTTGACTTCTCTGTTTTTCCCTCCCTGCTATTCCGACACAACATACACTCCGCCCACCGCGCAGTGACCGCCACTTTAACATGACTTGCGTGACATCACGTGCTTCATGGGTCGGACTTATCATCTTTCACCGTCTTATCATCTTTCATCATCTTTCTTATCATCGGACTTATCATCAAGTTTCAGCCACCGCAAATCGTTCATTTCAGTTGGTGTGTTGTATGCGTGTGAGAAAGTTAGAGAGAGGAGAACACGTTTTCTAATCACATGACAGCCCACTGCGAGACAAGAAGCGAGAATAGATGAAAGCGAAGCGATAAATGCTGGAGCCCGTCTGACACTCGAAAACAAAGACAGAAGTGATTTCCATCCTCCGCTACACTCACACGGTGTCTCCGGAAGCCGGCCAAAGGGGCCTTTCTTGCTATGTACATGCACAGGTGTGCGCAGGCTACCCCTTCAGGAGGGGGGTAGGAACAAATGCTGACTGCATCGTCCCCCTTCCCCTACTAATCATTGTATGATGCAGATTTTGCACCCCTCCCCCTCTTAGGCGACAAGGGGGAGAAATGGCTGCTCCCTATGCCCTCCTTGCGCGCCCACTTATGACTGTGTAACAGTGCAAGGAAGATGGAAGTGAAAAAAGATACTGTGTTGCGCTTCTTTCCGGCACCGTCTCGTCGGCAGTGGTCTAACACGTGGTAATGCATTGGCTCCTTCTGAAAGATTATGCAGCTCGCGAGTATCTTTTGTGCGCTTCTAATGATGAGCGTTATGACCATTACTATATTTTATGCGCACGATAGTGTCACGCGTCTAATAGATATGGCTTGGCTAGGAGTGCACTTCAGCTATATCAGCAAAAGTCTGAAATACGCACTTCAACAAAAATAAAATAGAGTTGAGGCTCTCACCTCGGGTTTTTCTCTCAGCTGAGACTGAAGCAGCCTCCAGTTGAAGACGTCATAGTTGACCCGGTAATAACCAACGCGCTGGATATTCACTATCAGCCACTGGTTGCTTGCTTCCATGTTTTTCTTGAGTTTCCCTGAGCACGCGCAGGTGCGAGAGATTTTTTTTTTTTATGCTGGTTCGTATTCTCCAACAATTGGACCGATCTCGGGACTGTATTGGTACGTGCTGTCGTGTAGAATTCTTTAACCAGAACACTGTTGAAACATGGACATGTCCATGGAAGAATTTGCGGAGGATCAAACACGAGCAAGTCATATGGGAAAGACGGCAGGAAACAGAATGCGTTGCCACGATGGCAGCAGTATTGAGCGAATTGCCCCGGCAAGTACTAAACTTTCGAAAAAAATGTCTAGGAGATATGGGGTCGGAGTATCAATGGAGAGTTATAAGCCACAGACGTGAAATCTGTGCTCGTTTTAACAATGCGACATATCTTGAGGGTTTGGAAATGCAATGCACAAAATTGTAATTTATTAGTTAGCTTTCCCTGGCTACAGAAGGCACCACAATCAGTAAACCTCGAGATTGTTGGCCAAGGGCGTGTTGCTATATTGGTACGTGGTGCCTATTGGGAGTTTCGCAAGCGTGACGATTTGTGAACTTTGTATGCCATATGCTACTATATACGTGCATATGTTACCATATATGCCTACCACCCTCGTCACAAAACGTCTGCCCTTAGGTTTTATTATTCGCACACGTAAACTTATATTAGTTGTGAATTCCCTAGGTTTTACTTTTCACAATACTATTTACAGCATTCAGAAAAGCAGGCACAATCTCGTACCAACGTAACTACTCTATTTAAAAATGTAACAATTTACTTAAACGCATCCCTACTTATACGCCATTTTTATTGTTAAGAAATCGGTCATGTGAGAAGTGTTCGGCTATGTCTTCCAAATGTGACCTGGTTGCAAACGAATATATTGAATGGACAAGCGGCACTTCGATGGTGGCAGTGCGAAGACGAGAAGAATCACAGCGTTTTTACTTTGCAAGTCTTTCCTTAGGTGCCACCTACGCCCTGTTTTTACCGAGGTATATCTGATCCTTACAATTAAAGATTCAATTCATAACGCAACTCAAATAATACGCGTTCTGCTTCTGCTACCTCGTGCTTTCGCCATCTTTCATTTGAAGTTCCGAAAAGTTAATTCGAGCGCGAAAACTTGACATGATCACTCACACACGCACACACCCATGTGTGTAAGTGATCGTGTCAAGTTTTCGCGCTCGAATTAACTTTTCGGAAAGCTCTACCAACTAGCCCAACAACAAGTTCTCTTAGAATTTCATTTGAAGTGCTGCGATCAACTCCTTTTGAACGCATACAATAACAAGGCAGATGCGATCAATTCAGGAGCGAGTAATTTAGTATTTGCCTCCTTTTGTCTGTCGGCATGCGAGTGCCGCACTCACCTTCTCGCTTGTTCAGCCATTCGATCTTGGCGTTGTTGTCGAAGTTCTTCTCTGACATGGTCGTGTACGTCACAGGAATATTCCAGATGGCCTTCCTGCACGTGAAGATATCGAAACTGTCTTGCCTTTGTCCACAACTCTTGTAATGAAAACGAGGCCGCACTGCGCTCACGTTCTTGGTCTAAAGTGCGGACGCCCTTTCAGAGCGCTACCTTGTAAAATGCTTTTTCTCCGCACAGGTCGCAAATGCAAAAAACTACAGGTGCATTTTGTGTTGTGCTGATTTACATCATTTCGGGACAATACATCATTCTGAGCGTTAATTGGAGATAAGTCGTACCTAAATATCTAGTACAGTATGTTAAATTTCCTTAGGCCATATCCTGCTTTCAAATGCTAATAAATAACAGTGAATACTTCAATGGTTCATGAAATTTAACTCGTGAGTCTAGTGCTCGAAAATACTTAGTTATATTGTAATAGATGCTCGATATTATACGTTCCTAAATGATAGGAAAGCCATATCTCTCACCCGTTCACGTCTGTGTCATATAACATAAACTGGCCCAAATGAAACTAATGAAATGCTAATTAAAAAAATAGCGCGAAAAGTTGAAACAAAAAGAAAACGACTGAACACCCAGAAGAAAATTCACAGCGCTGAGTGTTTGTTCTTAGTACAGTCTACAGTAGCTTTTTGCGCTGTGTTTTGAAGCATGTACAACCAACTGTCCGCACTTTTGAAGAAAAGTTGTTTGATTTGCAGTTCCTTTATCTGAATAGCTGTATACTTGTCGCATTTTTGTAACTTGGAGTTAACCTGTCACTTTTCATAAAAGACGCGGAATGCAGAGGATCTCACGTGTCATGCCGGGTGGCGTAGGCTTCCTGGTGGACGACGACTGTTCCCGTGCTGTAGTTCCTGGTGACCGTCAGCAGAGGGTAGCCGGGGGTCTTCAGCCAGGACTTCATAACTCGCTTAACGCTCACCTTCTGTTCATCACCTTGAGCCTGTGGTTGAATTAGTTAGTCGCCAAAAAAAAAAAAAAACGCCCGCCCAAAGAGGAAATACCCGACCGTTTATAAGTACCGTTATAAATCCTTAAACTGCGTGAAGTAAAATGAAATATTTTTGGAGTCCCACCGACAATGGAGTGCTTGCCGAAAGCTCAAGCGGGTAATGTCATTTTTCTCATTTTTTGTTTTTGTTACTACAAGGATTTTGTGCTAGACATATGTAAAAGCATTGTAGAAAGGAAAGAAAGGAATTCACGCAGTCTTGTCTGATTCATGCATTGCAGAAAAAATATGGCGTATATATGTTGCCTTATTCACAGGGTGTATACAGTCATGCGAAAAAAAAAACATTTTCTTTATGTTTCATCCGAGTACATCTCGTACACTTCGTGTCAAGGCCTATATAACATGACCCCGTTTCGCAGGGATACATTGAGACCACTGAAAGGTGACAATAACCTTGCGCTCGTCCACATGCTAATGCGTATCACACACTGGAAATGAACGCTCTTTTCTCTACCTGTGTCTACTATCGAACCGTCACTTGCACAAGACTGTGTTCACTACGGTACGCGTGCATATTTTTGTAATTAAGCGCATTCAGACGTCATAAGACGAGGTCGGTCCACGCGACGTCTTAAATGACGGCCGTCCGCAAATCTACGACCCGTCACACGTGCACATGATGCGCGTGTATATCTGCAATATAATGAATGCGGCATTCTGAACAGCTTAAATGCTGTCAATGAGTACACTGCTATAAACTGCGTTTTAGCATCCAGAAACGAAGCACCGTGCAAGCCACTTCTTACGAGAAACAAGATTGCCTCTTTACGGAGAGTCCCGGCTTGCCACTAATATATACTCTCCTTAAAGACACGCGTCAACTCTCATCTCGGTCTAATGGCGCTCCATTTGTGCAGTGGGAGACATGAATTTTTAAAGAAAAACAGGTTGTTCATTTGTTGGCTTATCGTACACGGTGCTGTCGAAATGGAGGTGCGCTCGAGAATGCAAACTTTGCACGAAGGGCGAGCAAATGCAGCCACATTGAACGAGAGCACAAGGCCAATTTAAGCTTACTGAAGTGAGTTCGTGGAGGAGGTCTTCTTGTTTGACATTTTTGAACCTGTATTTGTGAAGGTAGGTCTGAAAAAAAGAAGAAAGAAAGGTATTTAATGTGCACGTTGCAGTGTTCAAGCATATTCCGTGGGCAATATGTAGACTACATTAAGGTTAGTAACCAGAGGCACATATTGAAGTACCAAGATTTTTTTATATGACAGCTCGACCAATTCAAAGCCGCCAACTCTGCAAAAACAAACTCTAGAGACATACATGAAAAGAACTTGGCGGCTTAACATTGATGCACAATACGAGTGTTTAGGTTATTGCGCAGTCCAGAATGTATTACATAGCCATTTGAGCAGAACAGCCATTGTGATTGAGTTATTATTGAGTGTGTGCACTACTCAGCAAATAAAAAAATGTATTCAGCATTAACAAGGCGCTGTGTATTTATTAATCTACGTCTGAAAACGTTTACTGGCGTATATGTTTGTTACTAATAAATGAACATCAACCATCACCTATGAAAATTAATTTTTATTTCATTAACCAGTCTTTGTCCCTGAGACAAAGCATCAGCCGATTATTTACGTCCTTCATGCATATGATTAGAACAAAAGTTATTCTTACGCTAGCGTTAAGATAATTACGAGGGGTAAAAAACTTCTTCAGTCGCTAAACTCACTCGAAGAAGCAAAACGGACCCCAAGTTATCGAACAGGTCCCTAGCAAGAACATCCATCGCTGTTCACCAACAATACTCCATTTTCAGATTTGTTTTGAGTAAAAAATAGCGAGGCAACTTACTTTAACACCACGCATGAATACCTCCGGTGTCAGGAAATGTGCCATCATCCGAATCACACTTGATGCCTGTGAATTAGCCAGGTCAAATCATAAGAGACAAAAACACTTACGTACTTTACTAGAATTGCGCATCGCACAAGTGGGCTGACGATAGCTCAATCAAATACAGCCAAGAACAATCGGAGCGAACATAACTCGCCTTGCTGTACACGATTCTGTCAAACAGTGCATCCAAGTGATGCGTCGAATTCGACGTCACCGACACCGGATGAGCCGTGACCGTGGATTCAGCTCTCAAGATGGGCTGCATCTCGTTAACCACGAACAGATCCATCTGCGAAAATGAAGCCCATTTCGGAGATTTGCACTGTGCGGACGTTTGACTTACTTGGCCATGTATTGGTTGATGGCCCAATTTGAGCGTGCAAAAAGGACGCATTAAAGCGGACAAAACAAAGTGCACATCAAAGGACACAAAGAACGCCTTAAAGTGGACAAAATGAAGTTCCTAACGTCTCAACTGTTTATTCTTCAAAAAACGCAGAACATACAAGCACCAGCAGTGTGAAATTAGCATTTACCAAACGAGTTATGAATTATAAAAAAATAGACATACAAATGAAACACTTAATACGTAATTCAAAGATGGGAAAAATGCATTATGAAATAATATCACGTGGAGTTTTTATCAGCTTTTTTTTGCAGGTCATGACTCATGCGTGCTCTCTGTTTTACGAGCAAGGAGTTAAACATTGTCAGAGGCCTGACTGCTGCGAGGCCAATCGGTCGTCACTAAACGTATTGCATTTGTAATTGTAGCAGTATTGAAGGCCAATAAGTGCGTATAATTGTTCCGGTATCGTGTAGATAAATGTTTGTATAACGTTTATAGCATATAAAATCCTGGGGCCAATTTTTCGTGGATTTCAGGTTACTCAAACCTAGGTAACGGACATAAAACTACAAACATTTCATAATGTGACGTGGTCGAGACGTTCACGAAGGCATCAGACTCTATATTCAAGATACTATTTATTTGGCCGAACTTGTGACCGGTAAATGGGAAGTCTGATTACAGCAATACGGGTGGCATTGAAAACGCCAAAAATCACAATGCCAAATAATCGGTATGCCAAAATTTCAAACACTGAAAATTCAAAAGGCCGAATAGACGAAAAAAACAGAAAATTTGAAATGCTGAAAATTGAAAACACCGGGACATCGGAATACCGGAACGTCAAAATTCGTGCATCGCCATAGCTATAAAGAAGATAAGGAGTCTAGCCAAGATAAATGCTTCACCAATACACGATACTCGCCTTGGTGTACACAATTACACACACGATATATATATATATATATATATATATATATATATATATATATATATATATATATATATATATATATTCGTCGTCACAAAGCAGAGCGATCAATTGTACATTGCATATTTCATTTAGGACGATTGCCCAGACAAGCTCTCAAACAATTTCCGTGTAACCCTTGGCTCTGTGAGCAGTGGGTTGCTCTCTAATCGCTTTTTGTCTTCGAGCCTGGTTTGCTTCCTTTTCAATTAGGTGATCATCCGAAAGGGCATGAATTGCGTGGACCACTCTCTTTGATTTACTAACGCAGTGGTATTCTGCAGTAATGCCGGTGATCACTCTGGCATTACATTTTCCTCGTTTCTCAGACCTCCAATACTGTCTAGAACCTACTTGCTTGTCAAACGCACAAACATAACTGGCTCTGCAGCTGCGATCAGCTATTCTCTTCTGGGAGCACACCACACTGCGTCTTCGTCTATTTCCTTCCAGGCAGATGAAATTTTAAGTGGTTTTCGGCGTTATGTCTATTAGGAATTCATAGAATTTTTAAGCATTGTCATGTTTGTAATTAGGCTTTATAATTTATGGCATTTGGATGGGAACCCCAGAAATACACACTGGCACCGCTAGCGGTGAACGGGGCGTCAGCCGTCGATCAACTGATCACCGTTGGGATGCGCCTACTTTTATACATCACGCGTACAACTTTCCAGCAATGCCCCGCCGCAGTAGTCTAGTGGATAAGGTACTGACTGACCCGCAGGTCGCGGCATCGAATCTCGGCTGCGGCGGCTGCATTCTCGATCGAGGCAAAAATGCTGTGGGGTCGTGTGCTCAGATTTTGGTGCACTGTAAAGAACCCCAGGCGGTCGAAATTTCCGGAGCCCTTCACTACGGCGTCTCTCATGATCACACGGTGGCTTTGGGGCATTAAACCCAACATATCAATCAATCAAATAAACTTTCCAGTCTTATCAATGGTGGTGACGGAATTTCTGGAACAAGTTTGAGTGTTAATGTCTCGCGTAGAATCTGAACAAAATGATCTATTACGGCGGTGAAGATTATTGAACACTTTCGCTTGATGTGCGCCGGGCATTGCTGACTGTCTTTGTGGGCGTAGACCAGATACAGCTTAACTGAAACAGAAAACACGTGTGGTAATATTTTTATTACGCTGCAACAACGCAACTTGTGCTGTCCATTGAAATGGCGCTAACTGCCAAAGCATATTCGCATTTGGTTAGGCTAAATACATTTCCTTTAGGTACCGGTCACGTCACTTGGTTCCTTCCACTATAATGTATAGTTCATAACTATATCGCTTGGGTGGTTACATGGCCGCAGTGGTTGACAGCGAATGGAAATGTATGACAAGCGGCGTTATGGTGCAGAGGCCACTCACCGACACGGCCGAGAAGCCGGCCATCGCCCTCACCGAGCCCGACGTAGCGGCGACACGTGCGACGCGCAACTATGGCAACGACGGCGTCTCCCGAGAGTGTAAAGTTTCACACACGCAACTAGAGAGAAAACTGGCGTTGCGGCTGTTTGACTACGGTACCTAGAATACACTATAGGCACTATAGTGGGATGCATAGGAATGCCGGGATATGTGAGCTTTGAACTTGAGTTGGATTTGTATCGCTCGCGTAGAGCCCGGACACCTCTGAGACAGATGCCTTGGTTCAACGCGTTTCTTGCGTCAAAACGGTTGATTGCTTACGGAATAAGCATGTGGTGAGCTATTTATTTTTATTTTTGCACTGAAACAAGTTTTATTTAGCACTAGAGGCTTCTGCGTCGATGTAGAATTTTACCAATCATCATAAGTAATGAATGACCGCTAAACTTTGCAGGCAGACGAGAAATCTAGCGTTCACTCTGACACTGTTCGCCGTCTCTTTTTTTATTCGTCGTTTGGCTATGTGGTGAGGGTGAGCGGTCTTTTATTCTGACACTTTTATTCTGATACGCGTGATTGAGATCCACTTATAAAAATTTTGTTTTAGAGAAGCTGTATTTGCGCCGTCGCATCTCCTTTTGAGCCGAAGCCTAGTTCAACATCAGCCGACACACATACCATAATTTCCAGCTCTCCAAAGGCGCCCCATAAGAAATTCACACAGACAGTGGCACCTAGTTTCCGTCATTTACTATTATGAGAAACTATATGCCCGTGAGGCGCAGTGCATTCTAACAAATAATATCCGAAAAAAATGACACTTCGTTTATAGCGGACTAGAAGACTGCTAGTTGCTATACTTTGCTATGCTATGCTAGTTCAATATACCCCCTCCACACACACACACACACACGTTCCCCCTGGCCAGCAATGAGGTGGTAAACGCTGTAGCTTGAAAGTTCACGAACAGAGTCGTTGCGTACGTCGACGTAGCCTTGACCGAAGTTCTACGCGGGGAAGAGTGGTAGGAACGCATGACTAGGTACAGTGAAATTATACAGCACTGCAAGCTAGGAAGACGCGAACACCCACTGTTACGCAACATGTAAAAAAAAAACAGGCATTTGCGTGGTGACAACTGCAAACACACAATCACCCAAAACCCTTCATCTCTGTTATCCTGATGCACATTTGACAGACAAAAGCAAGGTCTGCGATGCAAAAGCAACCCTGGCCCACATTCTATGGGAGTGCTCGAGCTTAGATGTTCAAACAGACTACGAGTAGGTAGTCTCGGGTTGCGCTGGGAGGAGGCTCTGCTCAGCCGCGCATTATAAAAACTGTGGGTCGTCCAGAGAGCCGAGGGAGCCCAAGGGCTCACAGCCGATGTCTACCTAGGCCGGGGCTGAGGTGCACCGCAAATCAACTTCGCTGGACAATCAATAATTAAGTTCTTAATTCTAACTCAGTAAAGATCTAGTGGTTTGAGAATTTCGACAACGTACACAGAGGTGATTAGCGTCTGCTCCATGAGCTTGTAACGATATGATTGGCCTTAACGTCTCGTGATAGTTGACGCAACTTACACTTTCGCCGCCCGAACACTTTGAGATTTGGATCACCCACCATTCGCCACTGCTGCTGGATGTAGTCGGCTCCAGTGTACTGCATGTACGTGGCGAATCCTTCGTTTAGCCACAGATCACTCCACCAGTTCATCGTGACCAAGTTGCCGAACCACTGAGCAGGAAAAAAGTACAATGAATTTCTAGGTTGGGAGACCCACGCACAGTCATTTCAACTGATCTACCCTGCCAACGTCTTTTCTTTTTTTTTTAATTTCGTAGCACTCTAGGGGTCTGGCTTATTGCCCATCCATAGACGTAATGTGGTGTGATCACGCTCAAAACTCAGTAGCCATTACAGTCGTAAAACAAGACGAGCAATGCTCAAAACGGGGTTAAAATAAACGAACAAGTTCTGAACACAACATAATTAGCACGAATAATCAAAGCGTCATCACAGTAACTAACTTCAAATCAATAATAATGCTTCAAAACCTTCCAGTGGGCCCCCACGCCACGTATGAGGGCGCCAGGCTTGTGATTTCTTCTCCAAGCGGTGCTTCTTTGGAGCCGGTGTTACGAATTACATCGAGAGATTATTCATAAACAGCGACTAACTATACGGTAAAGGAAATTAACAGTTGCCAGTGCTACGTACATCATCATCATCATCACCACCATCATCATCCTGACTACGTCCACAGCAGGGGAAAGTCCTTCCCCAAGATCCACCAGTACACCCGCTCTTGTTCTCTCCGTTGCCACGTTATACATGCAAACGTTTTATTCTCATCGGCCCACCTAACTTTCCGTCTCCCCTTCGTGCGTTTGCCTTTTCTGGGAATCCAGTGAGTTACCCTTTATTACCAGTGATTATCCTGCCTACGTGCTACGTGCTCGGGCCATGTTCATGTCTTCTTCTTGATGATTTCAACTATGATTTCCTTAACCCCGGTTTGTTCTCTGACCCACTGTGCTTTTGTCTTTTAAGGTTACACCTATCGCTAGGGGTAACCTTCAGGTTACATCTAGCGTCGTCTTCAATTTAAGCTTACCTTCTTTGTTAAAGCTGAACCTCTTAAGCTGAACGCTCCGTAGATAAGTACTAGCAAGATGCAGCTGTCATATAGTTTCCTCTTACGGGTTAGTAGCACATTACCGTTCGTAATTTGAGAATGCTTGCCGAATGTGATCCCCCACATCTTCATTCTTCTAGTTATTTCACTCTCATGGTTCGGCTCCGCAGTTACTACCTGTCTTAAGTGGACATATTCCTTTACAACTTTCAGGGTCTCTTGACCTATCGCAAAGTGTTTTCTATCAAGACTGTTGCTCATCACGTTTTGTGCATATTATTTTCAGACCAAGTTTTCTGCTTTATGCGTTCAGTTCTGTAATCATGAGATGTAAGTCTTCCCCCGAGTTACTCATGAAGGCAGTGTCATCCGCGAATCGCAGATAACTAAGACACTCTCCATTAACTTTTATCCCTAACTTTTCCCATTCTAGGGTCCTGAAAACCTTCTGTAAACACGCGGTGAATACCTTTGAAGAAATCGTGTCTCCCTTGCTTCCACCCTTCTTTATTAGGATTATGTCACTTTCTTTATGGAGAACTATGGTGGTTAGAGCCACTGTAGGTTTTTTCCCGTATGTTTATGTAGGGTTCTTCGATGCCCCGATTCCGTAGTGCTTGCATTACTGCTGATGTCTCGATTGAGTCAAACACCTTCTCGTAATCTATGAAGGCTATGTATAGGGGTTGGTTTATTCCGTGCATTTCTCAATTACCTTATTGATTGTAGAAATATGGTATATTGTGGAGTAGCCTCAACAAATTCCTGCTTGGACTAATCAGATTTCACTATACTGGAGCTGCACGTAGCTCAGGAATCATAATTACTCAAAGCGGTACAAAAAAAAAAGCGTTAGTGCTGGGTTGGAATTATATTTATTAAGGGTGAGATTCGTAGCGTCGTTTGTTTGTTTGTTCAAGCAACTGCCCAGCACAATGTATGCTAGACACGTTCTCTCGGGTGACTCCAGAGCTTTAACATGTGCTTATATCTGAGCACGTGCGTTTTCTTGCATTTTGGTGCTGTCGAAGTAACACCGCTGTGGCCAACTAGAATGGGAAGCGCATTCTTGAGCTTAGCGTTGGAAGGTCTCAGCCGCTAAGTGGTCACGGTGGGTTAAGAAGAACGCGCCACAAAGCGTGATGTCGAGAACAATCCTGCCCTTGATGCGAAACAAAGATTCTGCCACCCTCCGTACACAATCAATGACTGTCTTCACTGCTTCTCAATAAAAAAACTAAAGTTTATTTATTTATTTATTTACACTTTATACATTTATTTAGTTATTTATTTACACTTTTACACATTTATTTATTTATTTAAAATAGATCACAGGGGATCCGAAGAAGCACTGAGTGAGGGTGGGGGGTACAGACGTTAAGTAAAAAAGAAGCACAGGCAATGTATACAAAATACCCTACAGGTAAAGAAAAAGCAGCAAAGCAGTAACCAAATGAAAATACCAAAACAATATTTTCTAGCTAGCCCACAGGTGCACTTTAAGAAAGCATATTAAAATGTCTGTTTAGTTTTTCACGAAAATGACAATGGTCAGTGATGGTGACAACGGCTTCGAGAAGATCACTCCTCGGTGCAATGGTGTGGGGTAGTGCAAATGAATTACCAGCTTGCGCACTTCCAAAAGTAAGCCTAATGCTTGTAGACCATGTTGCCAAGAGACTTCAGCTCCGTACTATTTACGGCGCCTGCAACGTCCCCTGCTGCTCATCCGCATCGATATCTGCCTCCTCACGCTGGTTCGGGTGACATCCCCCAAGAGACTGCTCTGTATGCCTTATTTCAATCTGCCATAAAGAACCTCTAAGAAACATCACAGTAATGCTTCGAAATATAATCATTAGAACTGCACGGTAAATAATTATTTATGGGTTTTAACATTCAAAAAACACAATATGACTATGAGATATATATGCCGTAGTGGAGGGATAGGAAAATTTCGACCAGCGGGATTTCTTTAAAGAGCTGCCAAAGCATACGGGCCTCGAGAATTCTCGTTTCCACAGAACCTGCAGCCCCCACGGCGGGGATTCGATCCCGTGACCCCGCGGGTCACTAGCCGAATACCATGACCACTATACCACGATGACAAGTGAGGAAAAAAACTTGTCGCGGTACGCACGTCCCTCCGTCAGTCCTTTATCAAGCTATACCGCAGGCTGTGACACGTGCGTAACATGTGTGCGCTGGAAGTTATTTGCATGAGCGTTAAAATATCATGTTTAGTGATTATTTTGAATATTCTCATACAGTTTCAAGAAGCTTCGATGAGCGTCAGTAAACTTCCAGGGGACACTGAAGACAAACTATTCTTAGCTATACTTATGGCAAATGATCAGAAAGAAAATGTGGGTGCGACGCCACCTTGCAATTCCCGCATTAGGCGCCGTGAAGTTATATCTTGAGGACGTCCACTGACTCTTATGAAGTTCACAGTGCACGAAAACAAATTTAATTATCTGCCGAGTCAGCCAGACACCTAATGTACCAAGTTTCAAGAAATTTGTTTGAGCCAATGCGGTCAAAATAGGAAAAGAAACATTTTGAAATCAATGACGTCACTAACGGAGATTCTGGCAGGAAGTTTAAAAGTTAATGATGCTCTTAATATTGAAACGAACGACGCTATAAATATGATGGCATAAATTTCCAGCCTAATCTAAATTATCCTTTTCTTTAGCGTCTCTATAAAAAAATCACCAGATCCCACGTACAAAGGTAATAGATATTATGCGAAGCACGAATGAGGACGGTTAATATGTCACACAACGTTGTCGCAAATCAGCGCGACGTTACGAGGCGGACGTAAATAACACCATATATGACTTCCTTGTTACGATTATAATTATTTGACGTGCCATTTACCTTCGTCGTCTATTCACGTCACGTGATATCAAATTTGGTATATATGGAGTTAGCGAAACGGCCCCAAGTCCGCCATGAGCGTGGTATGCAGTCATAGTGTTACATGGCACGCATCTAATGATCATGTTTGCACCATTCACATACCTTCGTCATCCATTCACGTCCCGTAATAGCAAATTTGGTGTATGTGAAGCTAGCGAAACGACCGCGAGCGCACCATGAGCGTGGTGTGTAGTCATGACTTACATGACATGCATATCATGATTTCTACGCTGAGATCTGTCACTTATGCTCTCCATGCAGCCATGCCATACCATACCAGTTTTGCAATATGCCTAGTAAACTACAAAAGCCACAAAACGTCGAAATCGGGAAAAGCAGTGCAGTAGAAAAAGAGACAGAGCAGAGACGTGACACTAACAACTGACGCTTATTTCGAAACAACCTTCCTCCCAAGTCCGTACAACGCATGAGCAGATAACAAACCAGAAACACCCGGCAAGCTAATCTTGGTAAATCAACTTTGTGCTAAAAACAAAATTTTTTTCTTAGTGAGAAACACTGAGGCTGCGCTAACACATTTGCCAGGACCCTGTTTGTAGATATGAAATGCCTCAAAATTCCTGCTCTCCGTCTCTGTTTCTACTGCCCTGCTTTTTCCGATTTCGACGTTTTGTGCCTTTTGTAGTTTACTAATATGTGCCAACATGCCCAACAGGCAACTCTTCTAATTGCAATATGTCATGTGAACAAAACCACCGCAAGAGCAGCAAGACCATGAAATGTAAATTTTGACATTCATGACACACATGTCATGATAGTCATGTTATGACTAGGCAGTTGTGCTCGTCCTGCAGTTATGTTGTCATACCAAATTTGGTATCGATACCATAAACGAAATGGCCAGGAGAGCTAAAAGTCGTAGGCGGATGGATAAATAGAATAGATAAATAGAATAGATAAATAGAATAGATAAATAGAACAGATAAATAGAATAGATAAACAAACAAACAGACAGACAGACAGACAGACAGACAGACAGACAGACAGACAGACAGACAGACAGACAGACAGACAGACAGACAGACAGACAGACAGACAGACAGACAGACAGACAGACAGACAGACAGACAGACAGACAGATAGACAGACAGACAGACAGACAGATAGATAGATAGATAGATAGATAGATAGATAGATAGATAGATAGATAGATAGATAGATAGACAGACAGATAGATAGATAGACAGATAGACAGATAGACAGATAGACAGACAGACAGATAGACAGATAGACAGACAGACAGACAGATAGATAGATAGATAGATAGATAGATAGATAGACAGACAGATAGATAGATAGACAGATAGATAGATAGATAGATAGATAGATAGATAGATAGATAGATAGATAGGTAGATAGATAGATAGATAGATAGATAGATAGATAGATAGATAGATAGATAGATAGATAGATAGATAGATAGATAGATAGATAGATAGATACGCTAAATGTCGCCGAAGTTCACTAAGAAATGCTTCGCTATATTTGAGCGCTCACACATTACTATGGCTTCCACATTGGAGCCATCATGGCTAGAAATGCACACCTACTGCTGCAGATGAGCTGTCAGTTATGTTTATACAGTCTTCACTCCATCGCAATCGGCTCTTTCAGCATCATTCATTGGCGATATATGACCAACTGCCGTTTCTTGGCGCTTGCTTTTCCTCATCATGTCGCTGACACCTGGCTCGAGCTCCGAACGCTTCTTTTGGAAGTGTTGCTTTTGCCGGCATTCTTGAATTATTTTCGAATATTGGGAACAGAGGCAAAGTGGCCAGCGAAATATACAACAAAGAGGCAATTATGTCCGCCGCGGTGGTGTATTGGTCATGGTGTTCACCCCAAGGTTGTGGGCTCGACCTCAGTCGTCTCATTTTGATGGAGGCAAAATAGTAGAGGCCCGTGTCAACGCAAGTTAGATGACAGTAGATGGCCGTTATATGGCGTCTCTCATAATCATATTGTGGTTTCGGGACGTAAAACACAAGACATTATTAGATGCAGCCATATCAATCTCCTCAATCTTTTGTTCCTTGTTCTTAATCTTCCTCCAACGTATCAACCTCGGCACCTATTGATTATTTCTTAAATCGTGCGTCGCGGCACTGTTCAACACGGTGAAAAGGTATTATCATCGCCTGTATGCCATCATCAGATAACTGCCGCGCCTTTATTTACGATTTTAGTGATTAGAAATGCATAAATATTTGGTAGAATTCTTTCCATCTGCTTTCTTTCCTGTCAAGCTATCGAGCGCATGACTTGTTCCTGGTGTTAAGACTGCCACAGCTGCCTTCGAGTCTATATTGAAAGGCGAAAGTAATGAACAATGAATTGGATTATGAAGAAAAAGCTGTGCCAGTCGTGATTGGCAAGATGCTTTGCGTGAAGCCATGACAACCAGACTGAAGAAACACGATGGTGTTGTGTGCTTGAACGTGGTGTTAGAGATTATATATGAGGTGGTGGTTCTTCCTAAGTAACCCTGCACATAGGAGAGGACATTATAACAATAAGACGTGTCACCATCCTCATAAATTTGAGCCGTGCAAAAAAGGGACCCTTTATAACTATCTCGTTTCATTCCTTCAACTGAACTATTTACATTAAATTTTTTTTTATTTAGGAGTACATTCTAGGCCCCTAGAGTCAATGTACAAGAAGAACAAGAATATAAAGAACAACATAAAAATATTACTGTGACGCAAGCGGGAACACATCAAGAAAGAAAAATCACACTTAATATCAAGACAGCTTATTTACACAATGAAATTCGGCACATATAAATACGTAGAATGTAATTATAGAACGGACGCGGCATGAGGCGGCGAATACAAAATATATGTAACGTTAAATTGCACACACATGACTATAAAGGCTATGAAAAAAAAACAACCAAGAAAATAGTTTTAGGAAACACTATTTTGACAAATGCGCGTTTAGAAGAAACTTAAAGTTTTCGTGATTATTCTTGGAAGCGACGGCGTTAGGAGGCCGTTCCAAAGGCGAATGGCTTTTGGAAGAGCGGAATAGGTAAATAAATTTGTGTTGCCATAAATGCGCATGAAACTAAACTGGTTATATAAGTGTTGTGACCTATGTGGGGAGTTTGAAGTTGCAAAAACGATGACGGTGCGTTACATATAAATTTATGAAACAATGATAGCAGGGAGATATTCCGATCATTATACAAAGGATAAAAAGACAGGCTGAATTCAATTTCCGTAAAGCTTTTGTTGTAGTCATTAAAATGTGAAATGAAACGTGCAGTCCTATTTTGTGCATATTCGAGTATTTCGATAAGACAATTTTGATAAGGAGACCAAATAAAGGACACTTCATATTTGCTGTGATTGGTTGCTTGGGCTCATAGACAATAGGAAGCACATTTAACACTGAACTGTTAAAAAAGCGAACCCTCCTAAAACGAGACAAAACTTGCCGCTACAGAAAAACTGAAAAAAAAAAGAATACTGGCAACGAATTGTAGTTGGCACACTAGGTTTCCGCAGCGTGAGGCCTAGTATACTAGCCTAATGTTTAAGGGTACTAATGGACTAGATTATTTCGTGCAAAGAAAATAAACACTGAGCTCGAAACCTCCGCAATGATTTTATGGGACCCAAATACGAAAAAGTTTACTAGAAATATGTGATGTTGCACTGACTGACATACGTGTGCTGAAATATCGATTTTAAATAAAAAGAAATATTTATCTTTTGCCTTTCATTTTTTATTTTGAAAAATTACATATTATACCGATGCTCAGGAAAGTTGCGCAAGTGCTGACCTTCTCTTCCTTTGTTGTCTGTATTAGCGCAATTAAACCATTGAGAAAACCGGAACAATATTAGAATGAATATTTACAAAACACCACACGGGGCGCTATATTTTACAGCACAGCATTTCAAAAATTGTCGTTGACATCTCCTGTGCTGTTGTAAAAGCTAATGCTTTAGCAAGTTGTAGTAAGAACGCATGCTCAAAAGTATGTTTGCGGCAGGACTTATGGGAGTCAAGTTTTGGCCGTTGTATCAACCTACATGTATGGGTGAGTTAGGTGCTTCAGTTAACCGTGACATTAATGCTAATTTGCAGAAGGTGAGGGTGGTATTTAAGGCTTATTGAAAGACACGGTTACCACGCAATAAAACATGGTGCTGTGATGCTGTAACAACAAAACGACGTTGCTTGCGTCAGTAATTTATGTCTTGCTACGCGATAAGTAATTGTTTTCGGTTTTTATGACAACGAGCACGTTTAGCTTCCCGTTTTTTTATAATCACTCATCGTCATATTGTATTCACGTTTGTACATACCCATTGCGATCAAGTTATGATACGTTATACGATATTTCAGTAAAAGTTTAATTGTGAATAGTGGCTTTGCAATGTCGTTCCTCCGTTTATTGTCAACTGATTAGCCCGTTCATCTATCTCGCAGCAAGAGCTCTCACAGTCTCAACTGATTCGGTGAACTGCGCATGGCCCCTAAATTCACACCATCTTGGAAACGTATTTCCTTTCGCAACCTGATACACACGAATAAAGAGAAAGAAGTGGCGCGTAGCGGTGCCTACCTGGTGCGCAATCTCGTGGGCTACGAGGCCTGTGATGAGTGGCTTCTTGTACGGCGTCGAGCGCTCGTCGTACAGGAGGCACTGCTCGTGGAACGTGAGCAGCCCCCAGTTCTCCATAGCGTCCGCCAAGAAAGATGGCAGCGATATTATGTCTATCAGGGCATTGATAAAAGAAAGTTTGATGGTTCGTTCAACGAAGAAAACGTATGCGACTCTGGCGACACGATTATCTAGAACAAGTCCATGGCTTCTACGAAAAAGGCAAAGGGATCAAATTAAAGCAAGCTTACTCTGGCGCTGTGTATGTTCGAGTTCCAAATCGTATTGTTTCTTCGTACAAGAAAAAAGAACATGCTGGGACTGACTGACAACACATCGCTTGACATAGGATCCAACACACACACACACACACTATATATATATATATATATATATATATATATATATATATATATATATATATATATATATATATATATATATATATATATATATATATATATAAGATACTGCCTCGTGCATCTAAGATGCTGAAATAGTCCGTATTTTGCAAAAGTGACGCGGAGTATTACGAAACGAGTGAAACACAATATTGTTGTGTTTAACACATGCAATAAAAGTTTTCATCACTTGACCACTATCATTACATACGACAGTATTAGTTGTATTAATCTGTGGCTATATAACCATCAAAACGTATATCTTTTTGCATTAGGACGTTCTTTGTTTAAACATTTAGCTTGAAAGTCTTTTCAGGCTGATTGAAATTAAGTTTTTGTTATAATTTGTTTAGTATGCGAGTTGATTAGATAAAAGTACATTTCTCGCAACTTGTTCCTGTCAGTGTTCTGCATAAGTGTCGGCGTATAGGATAGAAGTGTTGGAGAGGTCTTTCGTTTCGCACACAGTTTCTCGTTATAATTTTTTAACCTTTTCACGCGAAAGGTTTTATCCCAACGTAGCACATGCAACTTTTAAATAAAGGTGCTGTCTTATTAATTGTGCAATTTTCTTGGTCACCCGAAGTTGGAGAAATATTCTCTTTAAAAAGAATTTCGGTAGCTGTTGTCCCCAATGAAAGAGCGTCGTAGCGAGGCTTCCAATGAAAAACGCTATTGTTTACCTACTGTTTCAGCCATAGTAGAATCAATTGGTAATTTCATACATAATGCCAACACACTTAGATAAGTCTACACACTCAGCTAACGGACAGTCACGCTCAATATGACTTGCAAAACACTGACTGTGGTTAACGTGACGCCTAAACAACACAGTGGCAATGAGAATCGTTAAATTGGCTCGGAAAGTATGACTAACAGAATTTAATTCATCAATTTTTTTCCATGTATGTGCCGCTTCGCAGTCTTGGCGACATTCTGAGCACAGACAGGGTGCTGCAACTAATACTGAGCTAGTCTGTAAACTCCAACCGCATTCCTTACACAGTCTAACAAGCTTCTGCTTTTATTCGATGCTATAATATTTATTTATGATTAGTAATTAGTTCCCTATATATGTTTGTCTTGTGTTACCATACACTAAAACTAAAACAGACAAGAGCACCGAGGAGGGAATTTCATCGATTGTAACTACTGCAAAGAGATACCCTCGGCGTTTTTTGATAAAAACGAGCCGTTACTATTCCGCCTCTTTCGCATTACAACGCGACTTTAATGCTACTGTTTAATTTTAGGTCAGCCATTTAATTAGCTTTCACCCGAAGATGACCGACGCACCGATCACCTCCTACGTTACAAAAGATAGTTCCGTTCATGCAATTTCTTTCAAAGGTGGATTCGCCAGCCCACGGCCTGGATAGAGGAGTGGCACCGTGGCCGGTCTTGAGTCAAGCTGAGGCCACGCGCACTGATGCAGCCTTGTGTGCATCCGTCTATGAAGACTGTTGTGCCCGGCTAACAGGACTTGATAGATAAAGTAATGACATACTTTGGGAAGAAGGCCTTTCCGTACGTGACTAACGGAACGAAATCAAAGTGCTGGAGACTCTGCGTGAGTTGCGCCTTTGTTAGTGGGATATCCTTCCCCCGGAATCAGTGTTTACAAACCCATTTTCGGCAGTGGATAGGCGACGCCCAGCAGGTCTTCATAGAACTTGAGTAGTTTTGGAGCCACCTCTAGGGCATACTGCAGGTACGGAGACCTGTCCGTCAAAGACCATATGGTAACCTGTCAAAAAATCGCAAAGTCAGTAAAGCGTACAGACACGGGAAGAATGTTTTCAGACACCGCGGAAGCCCGAACCAGTTTAGTGAATAGGGTCGTTTCAATTTCTAGTAATGAACACAATGGACTGGACGTCCATTGCGTTCATTACGGGTCAAAAAATCTAGTTCACTACACAACTTGCATCGGTCTCTTTTAAATTAGTAAAGACGGAAATATCAGGGAGGCGTGAAGCAGACAATTATAGAAACTCTTCACAAGTATTTTTGTAGAATAACAGTTACCAACAATTCACCTTTAGATGCTATATGAACAGGAAATCTTTATTCTGTGGCACTGGTGTCAGATTAGCTGCGCTTTGCGATAGGTGGCGACCCCTGAGAGTTGTAAGAGGATATGTATACTTAGAACAGGTAAACGTGGAGCCGAACCATCAGAGTGAGATAACTAGAAGGATGGGGTGGAGCACATTCGGCAAGCCTTGACAAATCATGAGTGGTATCCCTCAAGAGGAAGGTATTATAACAGCTGAATCTTACCAGTGCATATCTACGGAGCCGAAAGCTGTAGACTTACAAACAGGGTTCAACTGGAATTGAGGAAGGCGCAGAAAGCGATGGAAAGGAAAATGATTGGTTTAACCTTAAAATACACAAAGAGAGCAGACTGGGTCAGGGAACAAACAGGGGTCAAGGATATTATAGCTGGAATCAAGAAGAAGAAATGGACATGGAGCAGGCCCGTAGCCCATAGGTAGAATAATCACTCGTAATTAAGAGTAACTGAATGAATTATAGGAGAAGGCAAACCCGTGAGAGGGAGACCGAACATTGTGTGGGTAGATGAGACTAAGATGTTGACGGGTATAATTTGGCAGCAGAGAGCGCAAGACAGGGTTAATTGGCGAAACAGGGGAGTGGCCTTATTACCCCTTCAGCGAGCGTAGTCAGACTGATGATGATGATTAGGAAAATAAAGAGTTGTGGGTTCGTCTAAGTGTTGGCAATGGCACCTTTTATTCGCCTAATCTGATGCACAACTGGCCGAAATAAACCTATTTTGTTTGACAGTTATTCTCCGTGAGGTTTTATATAGAAAATATAGGACTGCGGGAGCGAGCCGTACATAAAAGCGATTGTACGATGTGACACTTGTGCACGGTGCATCATAGTAAATAATAACTGGTGCTGATATCGCACGACATGCTAGATGATAATCTAGTACTCTTAAGCGAAGAATGATAGATACTTGTATTCGGGTGAGAATGCCAAATTTTACTGTAGTCTGACCACGCCAGTTACTGCTCAAAATTCGATCATAGGCTAGACTGACACCAAACGTGATTAGGTAGCCCTTCCAATGTACTTTCATTTGTGTACTTCGGTTTCCTCACCATTCCACTTAGAGCAACGACTGCTTTGTATAAATACATTTGGTCAGTGGACCTCCAAGCTGCTTACGTTTCCGTTGCTCTGGGACGAGAAGTTGAGAACCGCGAAGGCCAGAGTGTACGTCGACATGGGCATAGTTGGCGCGAACGTATCCGCCACAAAGCCTTGTGATCTGCAAGTTTACATAACATATATTGAGCTAATAACGACGCATTGGTCAGTTCTTATATGTATCCAACGCGAAGAGAGAACCTTCAGTAAAATTTTACGGTGGTGGCGTGACGTACCACGAGACGTCTCCACTTAGGTCACGAGACTCTACATAGCTTGCGACGACAACCACGGGTTCCGCAGTTGTGCCATTTAGGAAATGCAAACTTGCCTCGTCGCTGCGTAGAATACATATGTGAACGCTGACTAAATCCCATTACTACATGTATTAGCGCTAGCCTAGAGATCTAGAATTCCTGAAAACTCGACTTGCTACGCCAGCTGAAGGAAAAACGAGAAACAAGACAGGAAAGAGCGCAACAAGCTGCGCCCTTTTCTGTTTTTCTTCTTGCCACCAAGCTCTTTCCTGACTCATTCCAGCAAGCGGTGCTCTTCAAACATACTGCGAAAGAGTGGGAACTTGGGCTGGTTGGTATTGCATTTTTTAAAGCAATATACTTTATTGGTGCCTAGGGAACGTTTCGGAAGGAAGACTGATAGGACAGAGCGCACTCAGAAAGAAGACAGATAGGAGTGCACTCTGTTCTATCTGTCTTTTTTCTGAAACGTTCCCTGCGCAGTAAGAAAATATATTTCTTTCAAAAATGATTTTCAACTAGCGCAGACAGTCTAGTTTTCATGTATGAACCAACTAGTCTGCAAAGAAGTATTGCTACTGGAATTCCTATAAAGAACAAACATTTCTTTATGAAACTGACATTCCATGAAGCTTTTGTTAATTTAGTATATTAACGTGATAGCGTTAAAGAGCTCATTTTGCAGAACTACAAAAGGTACCCACTCCTTATAGGGCCACGTAGTAGGTGCACCAGCAAGTTGGAAAAGATTTCACACACTGAAGCGTTTGAAGCACGCACTAGGAACCAAAAATCGCTACGCGATGAACTCTTAAAAGCGAAACTTTTATTGATTTCTGATGTTTGCGTTGCGGGAGGTTGTTTGGTCACCTGAAATGAACACATCGAACAAGTTGCGAATATAGATACGGTGCTTTATGTCGTACTTTACCTTCCCGACAGTCATTTATTGGGATTAGACGGCAATGCAGATCATCAAAACACCTTTCAACGAGGAACATGAGCTCGTTCGAGAGCTGCACGTACCTTTCTTCCCGTTTTTCAACTGGCATAGTGGAAAGAGCAGTGTAGCCTTCCGGTCTAACGATTGTCACAGTGAAGGTAGCCTTGAAGTCTGGCTCGTCGAAACACGGAAAGGCCCTTCGTGCGAACGTCGGCTCGAAGAAGGTTAGAAGAAGATGTCTGAAAATCACGCGTTTCCTTCGATTAGCACGGATAGGGTTGCATGAATTGGTAATGTATTTGTTAGCTCTATGCTTTAGAACTCTATATTCAATACGTAACATGCCCTTTCTGTATTTGCAATGCTTATTTGTTTCGGTCACTTACCTCGTGTGTCTGTGCGTTATGCGATCGGCGCACAGCACATGTGGAAATACCTTGCTCCTGCCTCAGAACGCAATTTCCACACCGGGCGCTTCACGAAGGACGAATATTTACTGTCTCGCAAGTTGTTTCACAATTGATAGACGATAAAATTCTCTAAAGGGGTGTCAAATATCATAATAGCGAGAATACTTGCATAACTAAAGCATTATGCAGGTATTAACTTGTTTTAACGTCTGGTGCGATGCTATGCTTCTGCGTTATACACCTATAGTGCACCACCTATAGATGCGCCACTGATGGCCACCTAGCTGGTGCCGTCGACAGTACAAAGGACGACAAAAGTATGTGGTAAATTCAGAAAAATTTGTACAACAGGTTTCGAAGCCCAAGGAGTATTGCGAGTTATATACTGGGCCTGAAAGTCCGTAGGCTATTACCCAATCCCATAAGCAGAGTTAAGACACGCATGGATAGAATACATTTTTTTAGCGCAGGCCAACTCTCTCGTGCACTTGAACGTGCAGCAGTTCCATACCAAAAGAAAACGCGTAAGGATGAATGTTGAGCAACATATGCCATACCTATGTTATTGAAGGTATCCGGGGTATTCCGTATGTCAGTAACTCAGCTAGAAATGACACTGTCGTGTTAAAAATCAAAACAAAGTGATTGAATAACAATAAAAAATTGACAAATGCTACGTAGAGTGGTAATTGACGATATGCGGAGGACGAATGAGAAATATGTTATACAGTACATGGCTTCGATGTTTTGGTTGTCATGCTTGCGCCTGGTATTTGTGTTCGTCGTCCATTGTTGTAACGTAATTGCAAATTTGGTCTATGTGAAGCAGGCGAAACAGCCGTGAGCGCGCTATGAGAGTAGCATGTAGTCATGTTTTACATGAAACTTATGTCACGCACACCAGGTACGCGTCTGGCATTTGTGTTCGTCGTCCATTCGCGTCATGTAATACTGAGTTTGGTATATGTGAAGCTGGTGAACGGCCGCGAGCGCGCTATGAGCGTAGCATGTCATGTTAGTACATGACACGCATGTCATCATTATCACATTTGGTCATGCCATTTGCCTTTGTCATTCGTTCACGTCACGTAATACCGAAGTTGGTGTACGTGAAGCTGGTGAAACGGCGGTGAGGGCGTCATGACAGAGGCGTGTAGTCCTTAGTTACATGAAATGCATGTCATGATTTTTACGTCAAGACCTGTCGCTTATATTCACCATGCATTCATGTCATACCATACCAGTTTGCAACATGCCATGTGAACAAAACCACTGCAAGAGCAGGAAGACTATGACAAGTAAATCATGATATTCATGACATCCAAGTCACGATTTTCATGTTATGACTAGTCACTTAGCTCGTCATAGTCATGTTATGCCAAATCAAATTTGGTGTAGATCTCATTTTTGAAACTACCACGAGAGCTAAAAGTCGTAGGCGGCTCAATTGATAGATGAATTCGGTCAAATACACCGAAGGTTGCTCAAAAATGCTTTGCATTCAAAAGAGCAGGCAAGTTTCGTAGGTGGAGCTCTTAAAGCTCGAGGTAAAAAGTCAAGTGTGCGCAAAAAACTCTCCATGCCACTGCATATAAGCCGCACCCATCGATGAAGGCAGTCCGCGCAGCCGCCACGCCATGTACTTGTCGCGCGAGCGAAGTACGAGCGGCCCACGCTTCTATATTACGTGATGCCACAGCCACGTGAGTTCTGGCACTGGAGTTTGTACATTCTTGCAAAAGTCGGTGACAGGCTCTGGTTAGACTCTGCTTTGTCTACGCCAAGGTGAGCATCAGCCAAGAAGGCCACTTTAAGCCGCTAAAATCGACCAGCCTCGCAGTTTCTTAAGCATTCTACTGTACACTTCTTTCCCCCCTTTTTTTGTTTTCTCGTTGCACTTGAACCAGCAGGCCCGTGCTTACTTGAGTGTTCCGTTGACGCGGTAGTGATACTTGTAGAAGCCTCTGTCGGTGCCCAGTTTTCCCCGGAAAGCGATGCTCATTGAATAGGACTCATTAGCGCGGAGCTTTTCTGCCAGATGAATTTGGAGAAACTCCTCTTCCGGTTCCAGGGTCAAGTGATTGGCTTTGATCTTGGCGAACGGTGGCTGGGAGTGACGCACCGTCACACCGAGGCCCTTGTGGCCACTCAGCGACAATTCCAGTTCCGGAGACGCGTGCAGAGTGATGACGTCCGTCTCTGCACGTAGAAGGGCAAGCATAAGAGTTCAATTACGTTTTTCGGGACCCATTACAACCCTTATTACAAAACTGATGGAAAAGGTCGGAGTGAACTGCACTACGTGTACTGCTTGATAGGTTGCACAAGGGTATTGCTGTTACTCGGAGATGCGGTATATAAGGCAATTCGAGTTTCTGAGCTTTATAATAAAGACGGTATTACGAAAGACGCCTAGAACTGCTTACTGATATTTGTATTCGCGATTCCAACTGAGCGTTCGCCACCTAGCGGCCACGCCTGGGAACGGCGCTAACATGATCAACCTTGAAGAGACATACATATGAACACCGTGTTGTGCGCGTTGAGAAGCGCCCGCAGAGTTCTCTTATTATCGCCGTGCAACACGCGCAACTTCCCAAAACAAGAAAGCGCTGTCCGAAGACCATCGCTGTGTGGCACAATTTGTGGCATCGCGGATGACAAGGTATAATTCTATTTCTTTCCGAAGTACGCTGACGTCACGCGGTGGAGAACGGCGTAGATCATGAGTTTAGGCACTGGAAAGAAAACGACGGACACTGTACGGTGATCTGTTCTAATCAATTCGCTCGCGATAACTTCATTCTCCCCGGTAAGTACAGCCCTATTAAGCTGCGTGCATTCTTGTCTAGATTCGGGCATTTCTGTGCGCGCAGCATACATTTAGTTTATATAAGTAAGTGCTTTAAAAATCATCGTTGCGTTAAATGTGAAAGTATTTCTCACGTATGCTTGCTTCTTGCGCAAGTCGTAGTGCTACCCATTCTCAAATTAAGCGGCTTTATTTCTTCTTTCCGAACATTTTTTTTATGTCAAATGCGTGTATATTTACACGTCCACAAACGCATTGTACATGGAGGATGGGTGTACCTCAGCGAAATAAGTTTCTTGCGACGCCCCTGTCACCATGAAGTACGTTTCTCCCCCGTGAACTGTAGTAGGGAAACCTGAAATGTATCTATTATGGACAAACAAACGGCGTTTATGCATATGTTTGCTCTGAAGTGTCTACACATGGTGCTGCGTTCTTATTAAATGCAGGACGCCGACAGTTTAGGCTTGTCAGCTCGCAAGAAGTTTACAAGGAACTGCAAAAAGTGATTGTTTTAGCTTTTGTAGCGTTCGACTCGCGGGCGCATCGCTCCGCCTTTTCCAACGCATTGAAGCCAACTTATTTTGGAACAGGCTTATTTAAGAGTGATGCGTTTATCAGCATACCACTGAATCTGAAATAATTTACGGAAAGCTAGCGAATTTGATTGAAGATTATTTTACTTTAATTAGTTGTGAAATAATTATTTATTACTACTTTTACCAGGGTCGTACGGCTGACATTTGTGAGGGGCGGGGTGTGGTTGGACCACGCTGTACGCAAGTTTGCGCATGCGTAGCGTGCGTGTATATAACTTGTTTGAATATCAAGTAATGCCAACACAAACAAGCGAGAGTTTCAAAGCACACGATCTTATTCATTGGAAACCTAATATCATGGACCGGCGAACGAGAAGAAATGAACACTCCTATCACAAGCGAAACCACGACTTGCCTTATCTCAAGGTACACTGACCCAAACATAGCTCCGTTGAGTAATCAAGAAAACGGTACACGTATTCAGCTTTTGACTGGACGACGGAGTTCAATGGCATACTTGCAATCAACAGTGCTCACGAGTCGCAGCGCAGAGTTACCACGAAAACTATTAAGGACTTGCCAGTAACAGTGCAGTATATGTAACGCAGCGCACAAGTGATTGCACCTTTCGGAGAGGACATGAGCATTTCCCTTCTTCGGACTCGCTGGAAAGGTTCTTCAACTTGATGTAACCGATCAGATTCGATGTTTGTGCGTACAGCGCAACTACATCCGTTGTTTAGCTCTATGCCGATGAGACTGAGGTGATCCGCAGCCATTTCGCATTCGACGAACCAACTCGATCCGACGCCACAATCAAGAAACTCGAGCACAGCGCCAAGCGGAAGTGCCGCGTTGACGCTGTTATGCGTAGCCACCTTTGCTTTTCTACCAATGTTGCCAGCACACGGAGCATTTTATGGAGTTGCGAATATCACGACGTGAATTGACGACTTCATGAAAATAGTACGTACAGCCGAGCGAGTTGGCCTTGTTTCAGTACGTATTGGATTGTACAGTACAGAACACAGGACAAAGACGAGAAGTATGCATGGACAGCGCTACCATAACAAGTACTCCCACTATCGAAGAAATGAAGTGTTCGTGGTGCGCAATTAGTTGCAGCATATGTACACCCACCAGACGAGCAACACGCCTTTCATTTCATCTTGCCCGTGTCACTATATAGTAGACGTGCGCACATAGTTCATCATTTCGGGTAGCCAAATTTCATTGCCCAAAAAAGTCCCGCTAGAGGCAACTCACCAGCCGTGCAGTTGACGAGTATGTCCACATGTCCGCGGAACGTGTCCACCTGCTTCGGTTTCCCCTCCAGCTGGGGCTGCAGCTCGAGCGAGTAGTGGACGGGCACCAGGTGTCGGGGCAGGCGGCGCGTGGGGTGACGCTTCCCCGAGGAAGGCGCCACTATGTCGTGGCTCAGGTAGGCCTGGCGATCGACCAGGGACCACGGCTGTGGTGGCACCACGTCCTCGGGTGGCGGTGGCCCGGACTCACCACCGGCCATCGGAAATAATTGGTGCTGGATGAACACGCGCCTTTCGGTGGCGATGAAGATCACCAAGATGATCACAACCGCCGTGGTCACCGTTCCGATCACCACGCCATTCGTGAGCCGGTCGATGCGGCCCATTCTCTGCGGAGAGCACCCCATTTATATCATCCACAAATAAACTGAGCGGCATTCTAAAAGGTTAGCTTCTCGGCGACAGATTGAGATTGCAATTACTTCCGCAGACCAGTGCTGTCAAAACGCATGAAAGAAGGTTACGCATGCAGTCACGGCCACAAGAGATCAGAATAACACAAACGCCAACTTTGAAATAAAATGGCACCCTGCGATCTAACAATAAGTAGATGCAAAAACATATCTGTCGATGCGCAGGCATGCCATGCTACTTATCAATGACGTAAGAGTCGGCTTCTCTATGCAAATTGTTTAAGGTGGGCTTACGCATGCGCTGCCGTTACTATCGATATGTCAAGCCATCCGACGCGCGCGCTTATTTTTGGGCGGCATTGTACATTTTTCGAAATTATGCGTGCATTTGCACTCTCGACACAATTTACCCTCTCAGAATGGGCATAATGACGGGGGTAGAGAGCGTATAGTAATGTGCGGTGTAAAAGCGTGCACTTGCGCTAAGCCTCACAACGTTCGACATGAGGAACGAGAAACAGATGCAAAGCTTCCCATCCAATACAAATGACTCAACCATCATCATCTGAGCCAAGGTGTGCAGCTACAAGCGTACCGCCTTACAGACACATAGTACGTGTTTTGCTAAAGTCTCTACACCTTTGAAAATGAAGTTGAAAGGCAAAAAGGCTCGCACAAGGATCAATTTATTGCGAAACCTATGTAAAGTCAGCAACATAAGTTTATGGACTGCGTGGTCCAAACTGCCTGTCTGAGCCATCTAGCGATGCGGCACATATATATCGCTGACCGCAGTGCTATAGACAGATATTCTTATGTACTGGTATATGCATTTTCTGCATCCGCGCAGCACATTGTTAGTTGTTTCTACGAGAACTACTTATCAGTGGGACGAGCTTCACAATTTGCTACGTTGATTGAGGAATCTAATCTATCACGGCGAGCTTGCTTAGGTATCCCTGTGACAGATTGCGAATGCTAACCGTTATGCTCATAAGACTGCTCTTGAGGCAGAACTACGTAATCGCGACTGCCGAATGCCACTGCACACAATTGAGTGCAGCAGCTCACGTTAAAAATAGTTGACCATAAAACAGTGTCAATTATGACAGACAGCGAAGCCCGGCAGGCGATGTCAGTGGGCTCATTTGAATGCGTTCACGCTCAGCTGCCAGAGCTTTCGACAGCTTTCTGGAACGCACGGGATAAAATTTTTGCAATATTTATTTGGTACTGACTTGCCGTAATACGTAAGCGCCATCATCAAACGAGAATGCAGCGTTAATTTCGACATAAGCTTGGCGTTTCGAGTGTAGCAGCACCCGCGCGCCATGGCTAAAGTTAACTGCATCGACCGATAAAGCTCGCCTGGCTGCACCCCGCGTAAACACATAGCTGAAGGTTTGGGGAAAGTCGAAATGACAACGCATCGACCGCAAATAAAAGCGAATTCAGCAAGAACTTACGGAGACGTCTGTGCGTTCGACTCTTCTTCTTCTTCGTCTTCTTCTCTGCGGCACGAGGCATATCTAGTTGTGGGGTAACAATGCCAACCAGCTATCGTAACAAAGCAAAATTAGAAATCACACGCAAACCCTTTAAATGGACTTTTTTATCGCACATATTCTTTTTTCCAAAGATAAAAACCTCATATTACCGAAAAATTGATGGTGGTATCCACAAGGAGACATTCCGGCTCATGAGTGACTTCTTTGATGCCTTCACCCTTTGAACTAGTAGTCTTTACTGTGGCGTCTATTTTGTAACATACGGAAAATGAGATCACGTGACACACAGGTGTCTTTCAAAAGGTGTCAGTTAATCTTTCCATTCAAGCACCGCCGTGACTCAGTTGTAGAATGCTGGGCTGGCACGAAATGGACCTGGGTTTGAATCTTTCCATCCAAAAAAATAGCATTTTCTTACATTCAAGGCCATACAAGCTTGTCTGAAGCACGCGTATTAGTTAACATGCATGCGGTGTAGCTTCCAAAACATCGTAGTTCATTTCAACTTAATTCTCGCAAATAATTTCAGCAGATCTCTCAAAAAAAAAAAAAAACGCCAGGCCTGTGCGGAAGGCGCAGTGAAAGCTAGAAGAGGGACTTTCAGAGCCTCTTCTAAACACTCGGTGGGTAAAACACTTTACATTGGGTAACTGCTGCAAGCACACTTGCTTGCTACCCCCTACGGCATTAATAATAAATATTTTTGTGTAGTAGGCTGGCAAATTTTGTGACAATCGTTGATGCAGTGGCTGACGACGATGAGGAATTTCGCCTGAAGTAGGTATGCGTCAAAGTTGATAGGTGATCAATAACAAGCTTTTGTAATGGGTAGTAGCATTGAACAACCCACTCGTTACGCTATCCATATTCACATTGTGTGACGCCTGGTTTTTTTTCCTGTTCTAAAACGTTTTATTACTCCTAGTAACGCGGTTCCTTTCCCGACTTCAAGTCTGCCCAAGGCAAGTTTGCGGTCAAGTCCCAAGAACTGGCGTGGCTGAATTTTAAAAACCGGCGTGGCTCAGTGGCAAGGGACATGCAGTGGACACGGATTCGAGCCCTACTGTGTTAATGGCAAAGCTTTTTTTTCTTATTTTGTGTGAAGTAGTTATGGTCACCGACGACGGCGGCGGACATACGACGCCGCACGTGACGCGAGTTGTAATATAATAACAGCTTTCGCCGTAACAATGGTTCGCAATAGTAATGGCTGTAAGGCACGGCCATGTTTGAGCCGGCCTAATTCTCGACAGCCGCAAGTTGCTCCCTGACACAATACTTCAGCCCGGTTTGATCAAAATACGTTTCACCGCACGAAAGTGGCATGACACGCCCAACATTTACTCAGCATGACACGTAAGTACCGCCGCATGTGTGGTAGATGTATGCTTGAACGACTGTTCAAGTGTATAAAAAGATCTTTTGCAACAAGTTAACTGCAGCAAAGACAACTCGAACAGCATATTTCATGGCTGCACACAATTTAGGGACGAAGCTCATTATACTAGCCTTGTCACTAGTCACGCGTAACCAAGAGAAGAAGAGACGAGAAAGAAAAATGGACGACAATTTCTCGTGTCATTTCCTAGAGGGCATTACTCTGCTGCTACTCTCCGATTGGCTGCTGTGTGCGCTTTGCCTGAGTGCACGAACGAGTGCCTCTCTCAGTCTCCTGAATAGTCGCTGCACGTGGCGGATCGTTGGTGGGGCACGAAAGGAGCAGAGCGGCGGGTGCGTTGAAGACGCTTGCACTCGGATTCCTTGGCTCGCGTCTCGTCGGTGTTACCCGCGCTCCGTCTGCATTCTCGAACGGCATTGGACGCAAGGACAGATGCACGGACAGACATACACACGGACAGATGGATGGAGGGACGCTTTGCCCCACTGATCATCATTCACTCCGTGGATATGCTGGGATTTTTTTCATGCCCGTGCACCATCTGGTGTTCGTTACATACATTCGGTTTGGTTACACAACTGTGACGTTCTTTTTTTCCTCAGAGAGCACAATTTAGAAAAGAAAACTCGGCTAATTATTTCCACCATTCCTCTCTTTCTGATAGGGTATACTGTATATGATTAATTTCGGAGGTAGTAAGCGTAGCGTAATATATTACAACCGTGAAAATCACTGATAACGTGCTTAGATACAGAAGCAAATCGGTGAGAAAGACACCGTCGTGTATTCCATTGTTTGATCCTCTCCCCTTTCGTCATGCACTGAAGTCCGTCATTTTTGCACTTTTTAAGTAAAAAGAAAAGAAAATAAAGGCACAAAAAAACATAAAGAACTGGCGCTGTCCCTGGAAGACGCGTCATCCGCAGATGGAACACCGGCGCTATTTGCTCCGGCTGATCTCCGCACTTCAAACAGAGCGCGCTTTGGCATTGATTCATTGGGATATAAGTTCAGTGGACGTTGCAAGCGGACTGCATAAATGAACGCAGCTCACGAGAGGGGTGAGCGAGCATGACCAACAATCGTGTTGCGATGAGAATTACGTGCGCCGCTGCACTCGCGCTTTTTGTCCAAAGCTGTTGCGCGCTCAGTTACGCCGAATGGCGCAAAAATGTACTGAGCTTCAACCCCGGCGCACTGCAGCCTCAATGCAAAAAAGGTGAGTCGCTTGCCAGGGAATCGGCATCGCAGAATGGAGAACCTTTCAGGCAGATGAGTACTATAGCGTTGCTGAGACGGAACAATATGGATCGAGAAAAGAAGCACTCAAGTATAGCGCTAAGTGGCGCAAGGCTGGGCAAAAGTGGAACGGGTGCACAGTTAGCTGGGCCTGCCTTGGCTAGGCTTTTACCTTCTAACCTCTCTCTTGCGCATACCTTGTTATACTTTATTATAATCGACTGATTGATATGTGGGGTTTAACGACCCAAAACCAGCATCTGATTATGAGAGATGCTGTAGTGAAGGGTTCCGGAAATTCCGACCACCTTTTAAACACCATTATTGGCTATTGGGTGCCACACGCTAAAGCTTCCCATCTGTAGAAATGCTGGGCGGTGATGGAGGACGTGATGCTGATTATAATTTTTAAATCGACGACACACGGCGACTCCCGAGACGAACTTGCTCAATGAGCTTAATCTTTTATTGTGAAGCTACTTTTCGTTTCAAAAAAAAAAATCAGTCACATGGTGCACAAGTACACGAGTTCCTCCTTCAAGAAAGCGAAAAATAAAGTAATAATGAAATTGTCAAGGTGGCGCTCTTTTCATTGTCGCAATCAAAAGACCGAATCGATACGTGCGCCGTCCTTCTTAGGTTCTTCTGCGTGACTCCAAAAACCGCGAATGCCATCATACGGAGTTCTGTGTGAGTCGCACACTTTTTAAAATGCGAAGCTGGCATTTCTTTACAACTTTATGATCACGATATTTCCGAGCATGAACAATAATAATGACGAGAAATTCCAGCGCAGGCCTTCAGGGCTACGCGTAAACGTTACGGTCTCC